GCGAGTTTATGTAGCGTGTCATCACACCCAAACTTGTTTTTTTCCCTTTCGAGGATAAATTCAAATTTTAAGGTCTTGGAACGGCGGCAGGCCCTTTTTCTGCCCGAGCGGCCCCTGACCGTGTGACATGCCAGCCGTGGAAGCTCAGCCAAAGGGGGGAAGCCCGCTGCGCACAAGCCGTGGTGCAGGAAAACGACAGGGCAAGCACGGACAGCAAGCAGCTCACACTACAGTATCTGAACATACTGCGCCTCCGTCCTGTCAGTTCACGCTACAGTTGCGTCCCTGAGACACACACACACAAACTCACGTCAAAACAGCGCAGTGGCATTCCCCTAGACCCAGTCCTTGAAGGACCAGAACACTTCTAGCTCGATTTCAACGATTTCTTCCTTCCACACCATCATCAGCCTGATCTGTCGACCTACACATTTCCACTAGACTCGACTTTATCAACTCATCTGCTTTTGTTCCGTCGTCTTGGCTCGAGACGGGAAATCAAACAAAAGCTAGATACACGCGCACAGATTCTTCAAGAGACCAAAGCGCATCTCTATCACCGTTCGCCAACTAGATCGACGCTACCCCAACCACATAATTACCATGTCGGCGCCGTGGACTCGCGTGCCTGGCGCTGGCGAACGAAGCTCGGATGACAGCGGCTCGGGTCGTGCTCCACGCACATATGATGCTCCCCTAGCTGGACAGCCTCCCACCTCATCCGCCGCCTACTACGATAACATGGCCGACTACCCATCCGAGAAGGAGTATACCGACTACCCAGCCACATATGGTGGTGCTGGCAAGTACACTAAAAGCTCTCCCACCAACATGTCGGCCACTTATCCTCCGGCCGGCCACGGCACCCAAGCTACCCGTAGCACGGGCTACTCGGTACCATCTGAGATGTCGCGACGCTTCGAGCACGAACAGAGTAGCAAGGGCAAGGCGTCTTCCTCGTCATCGGGCACAAAGCGACCTGGCTTCGAGCGCAAGGACAGTGACTCGTGGGAGCGGCTGCTCAAGGGCGCCGGCTACTCCAATGGCGGTGACAGCGCCAATGCCAGCTTCCTTGGTCTCGATGGCCGTTCGCAGTCCGGCCCCAAGCTTGTCCATCCCTCCATCCGACTGCTGCTCTACATTCTGGTCCCGACAGCACTGTTCTGGATCCCTGGTATCATTGCGCTCGTCATCTTTGATGCTCGCCCCGTCAACAACTTTGACAAGCCAGTGGTTCTGGATGTGGGCATCTTCTGGTGGTCCATCTGGCTGAGCTCTATCTGGATCGGATGGTGGGTTTGCCGACTCGGCGCGATCATGCTGCCCCACTTGCTTCGATGGACCGTGGGTCACTTTGGTCAAAAGATGCGACGCTACACCGAGTTCCTCAAGGTGACTGAAAAGTACGTTGCCTTCTTCATGTGGACGCTCGTACTGTTCGCGCTGTGGTTTATCATCATCATCGGCAATTTCCAGGGCGCCGAGAAGGCCGCCATCGAGTCGGCCAGTCTCACTCCCACCAATACGACTACGACCTCGGGAACCACCGTCGTTTCGACCACCGACTCGAGCTCCTGGCCCACCACCAGCGATGTGATGCTGTCGGGATACCGCCTGTGGTTCGGCGTGGTACTCAGCGCAGCCATTCTGCTCGCCGAGAAGCTGTTGATCCAGGGCATTGCCTACAACTTCCACCGTGTCTCGTACGAGGATCGCATCTCGACCTCGAAGTTCAACATCAAGGTGCTGACGACGCTGTACGAGAACTCGCGGAACCTGCACCGAAAGGACACCTACATTGCTGCCGAGCACGAGGCCAAGCGCAAGTCGACTGGCTTGCACCTCGCCCGCGCAAAGCTGCGCAAGACCGGTCAGAAGGTCAAGGACGTGGCACAGCAGAGCACCAGCATTCTTGGTACCGTGGCCAGCGAGATCGCGGGTCAGGGCGTTCTGCAGCCGGGAAATCCGCGCAGCGTGGTGGTTTCGTCGCTCAACTCGCGAAAGCAGACCCAGGCGCTGGCACGTCGAATTTGGTACAGCTTCTGTCCGCCGGGCAAGGCGGAGCTCATCGTTGACGACATTGTACAGTGCTTCCCAGACGCGGCTACCGCCGAAGCGGCATTCGAGATCTTTGACCGTGACCTCAACGGTGACATTACCAAAGACGAGCTCGAGTCGGCATGCATCGACATCCACCGCGAGCGCCTGGCGCTGCAGCTGTCGATGCGCGACGTAGACTCGGCTGTCGGCCGTCTCGACTCGATTTTCATGAGCGTATTCATCCTCATCTCGGCCATCATCATTGCAGCGATGCTTTCGGTTGCGTTTAGCACGCTGGTCGCCTCGTTTGGTACGCTCATCCTCGGTCTCTCGTGGCTGATTGGCTCGACGGCGCAGGAGACGCTTGGTGCCATCCTGTTCCTGTTCGTCAAGCACCCCTACGACGTGGGTGACCGCGTCGATATTGGCGAGGATGCATACATTGTCAAGGAGATGCGCCTTCTGACCACGGTGTTCAAGACTGTCAACGGCAAGAACGTCATGATCAGCCACGCCCAGCTTGCCCAGAAGCCGATCATCAACCTGCGCCGATCGGGTCCGATCGAGGAGACATTCAAATTTGAGGTGGCCTACAACACGACATTTGCGCAGATCGAGATGCTGCGCAGCAAGATGGTGCACTGGCTCGAGGGTGAGAAGCGCGACTTTATGCCCGGCCTGGACGTCAATGTGGTCGACTTTCTGGAGCAGGGTAGCATGACGCTGTCGGCCGGCATCCGATACAAGTCCAACTGGCAGCAGGGCGGCCTCAAGGCGCAGCGACGCAACCGCTGGCTGTGTCAGCTCAAGGTGTTCCTTGCCGAGTGCCAGATTTACGGCCCCAAGGGCGACCCCAATATCGCTGGTGTCAGCCACGTTACCAACGTTCCCTACCCGCCTCCCGACGCCAGCTTGTCGGCCACTCCGGCTGCTGTCGGTGTTCGCCAGACCCTGGGTGCCGGCGACCGCGCCTACCGATTCATGGACAAGGGTGCGGCCATTGGTGGCCAAGATGTGTTTGACGAGCCCGTAGATGCAGGCACTGCTCCAGGCACGGCTCCTCCCTCGCGCCCCATTTCGCCCGCCAACGCGCTCGAGCAGGGTCGACTCCGAACCGGTCTGCCTACCTCTTCGGGCGGTCCGGCTCCACCTTATGCAGCCGTGCGACGACCAGCGGGACAGACTGAGTCGTACGAGCTCACTGACCAGCCTCGTCGACTGTAGACCAGCGTCGAGTCATTAGACTCAAATACAATACTCGAGTGGATCGAGTGGATCGGCCATCTGGTCGTTATTCCCTCGTTTACCGGAAGGAAAAGCTGCCCTCGGTGCGCTTCTGTTGCCTTCTTGTTGCAATATTTATCATACATACCTTGTCAGCATATACATACATTCACTGCTTCGTCATATTTAATTGGAAAGGACAATCACTTGATCTCTATCATCGCCGCCCGACTGTGGTTGGCTTTTTTTCTCTCTCTTTGGCTTTGGGCTGTTTTTACTCTACGCTCGAACTTCGGATGGTACAAGATTTGCGGAAGCTGTACAAAACTTTATATGTGCAACAAACCAAATAAGTCCGAAACTTTGAAGAGACCAGTAGCGGAGTGGTCAAACGCGCGAGATTTAAGACTTTCTTTATGCGTTTTTCAACCAGATACTCCACGCGCTTCGAGACGCGTGCCTATTGAATGCGTGCTGATTCCTCGTCCTTCGGGTTCGTGGGTTCGAACCCCACCTGGTCTACGACTTTTTACCTTTCCCTTGCTACATGTTTGTTGATTCTGATGTGTCTTTGTGCGCTTTACGTTGTGAATAGAATTTTGTCTTGTTCTTTTGCCTCCGTACTCTCACAAGACGCCTGGTTCCGATTGTGGAATGCTCATTTGCATTAGGTGAGGACAGCGCAATGAGTCGAAGAGAGAGCCAGCGTAGACGACGGTCAGTGAAGGAACGGCTCAGGAGACGCGAAGAAGAAACGGCAAGATTAGAGTTGATTATGTTGGAGCTGTTGTTTGTTCACGTCACAGCACGCAACAGCGTGGGCAAAAGCGAAGGCCGAATGAATGTGTTGTGTGTTGTCGGAAAGATTCGTTAATAACACTAGCTGTAGCTGTATTAGGTTTGTTTTACTATTTATTTTTGAATTGATTGCTGCAATGCCAGGATGCCGATAGAGGACGGTACTGTACAGCACTTGAGCATGGCGAAGGGCAGTTGGGGTGATTTGGGGAATGCCAAGTTCCGGTTCGTCACCGGTAAAAGCGAAAATGCAGTTGCCAAGTGGGCACTACTCCGAGAGACTGGTGTAGAGCCTCCGTTTTTGTATATGTGGACCGGAAAACGCAGACCAAGGTTTCCCCACATTTTCTTCCTCACCGCAGCCGTGCCTGTTGGTTGGTTAGAAGGCACTTCCGGTTACTAACAGTATTCTACTGGACTCTGCTCTACTATACCTATACAGTGCAGTGCAGGACAGTGCAGTACAGTGCAGTGTTCTCTCCGCACAGACACTTACCCCCCCTCCCCTACTGACTACAGCTACACTAGTAGTACTGTACTGCTGTACCTGTGGTGCATATTTTGCAAAGCCCTCGTTTGCCGAGCTGCGGACCGGCTAAGTTGGCCTGCCTTGCTCGACCTCGATGACGGCTACGTAGGGTTGGCATGTCGCAGATGTTGCAGCGTGGGGCGAATCCCAGTGCCTATCAATACAGTACACGAATTCCTGATTATTTCCTCCTCATCCGAGTTCTGCACATGCCATGATCTGGCAAGTGTGCGGCCATAGCGCTGCCGTGAGCAATGAACGACGAGCTCTGCCAAGTGTCGGCGGCTGGGGGCATGTGGACGTGGGCAGATGGACAGCCGCTTTGTCTCCCTCGCTCTACGCCGTCCGGTTCCAGCCTGTCGGGCCAACTCGTCCTTCCACATTCTGGTCCGAAGTCCCCGTGTCCCACTAGAATGCTGCTTTGCGGTGTTCTGCATGATGCCTTCAAATCGACATCGAGTCCGCCTACTTGAACTCGATCCTCCGGTGACGACGATACCGCCTCCTTTATAAGCATCAGTCGAGCTCTCCCTTTCTCTCTTCTTCACAACCCTAATCCTCTCCTCTACGTAACTCCTGACACTCGACCCAAAAGCACTCGCTTCCGCTCCATCTCGCTCCTTGTCGGGATCGCAAACTTTTGCTCGTAGCGTTCTCTTTTCTCTCATCCTCTCAATCCGGCCCCAGATCAATCCTCACTAGAATGCCGTCAAACTACGTACCACCGCGCTCGTCGCAACCTCCGGCACATTTCGAGCTCTCGCTCTCGCCGCATCCCTCGACGCCGCACTACCGCTCCTCGTTGACGCCAATCTCTTTCCTGTTGCGAGCGGCGCTCATCACGCCCAAGAAGCTGGCAATTTCGCATCCCGAGCGCAATTACTCATTCACCTACGAACAGTGGGCCGCACGAACCCTGTCTCTGGCCTTTGCCATTCGATCTACACCCGGCTTCCAGGAGGGCGACCGAGTAGCTGTCATCAGCCCAAATGCACCCCTCATCGCAGACTGCCACTACGGCATTCCTGCCGCGGGAGGCATCATCACTCCCATCAACATTCGAAACACGCCCAAAGAGGTCGCATACGTGCTCGAGCACTCGGGATCCAAAATCATTCTCGTTGATCACGAGTTTGCCCACCTTGCCCCATCGAACCCGCCGCCTGGCGTCACAGTCATTATCAGCAAGGACTCGGGTGCACAGGAGCACGATGACCCCTACGAGATGTATCTCGACCGGGGCTGGCAGACTTGGCAGAAGCTTGAGAAGCAAGAGCGCGACGCACATGCCGGCAAAAAGGGCGCAGAGCTCAAGACCGCCTGGAAGCTGCTCTATGCACCCAAAGACGAGGAGCTGCCCATCGCACTCTGCTACACCTCGGGCACGACCGGCCGGCCCAAGGGTGTCATTACCTCGCACCGCGGCTCCTACCTCGCTGCCATTGCCAACGCATTCGAGGCCAACATCACCACCGACAGCGTCTATCTCTGGGTTCTGCCCATGTTCCATGCCTGTGGCTGGACGTTCCCGTGGGCTGTGACTGCAGCGCTGGCAGCCCACCACACCATCCGCAAGGTCGACAACGGCGTGATCTGGGACGCCTTCCTCAACCACGGCATCACCCACTACTGCGGTGCACCCACCGTCCAGATCGGTATCACAAACCACCCGTCGGCCAAAAAGCTGGACCGTCGCATCAACGTAGCCGTCGCTGCAAGCGCCCCCACTGCAGCCCTGCTGGCGACAATGGAGAGCCTCAATCTCCACCCTGTGCACGTCTACGGTCTGACTGAGACCTACGGTCCGTTCACCCGTCGCTACTTTGAGCCGGAGTGGGCAAAGCTCGATATCGACGCCCGTGCTCGCATGATGGCGCGACAGGGTCATGGATTCCTCACCTCCGACGAATGCAGGGTGGTTCGCACCGAGAGTTCGAACGACAAGTCGACCGACGAGCTGGTCGATGTGGCGAGGGACGGTAAGGAGACTGGCGAGATTGTGATCCGTGGCAACATGGCGATGCTGGGTTACTACAACGATGTAGAGGCGACCAACAAGGCTGTTATGAAGGGGTGGTTCCACACTGGTGA